TCATTTCAGAATCACCAGTTTCTCAGAAAGGTAGGCAGATGATGAGAAGCGCCTCCGTTCTTCTAACACTGAAGATATTGCTTCTTCCTGTGTTTTCCGATGCACTCCTCCCCACTCATCTTGTGGATTCCAGGCCAGAAGAATCCACTTTTAAAAAGAAACATTTAAAACCAATTTAACAACCAATTGAAGGCACTTTTATAGAAATATAGTTCATTTGCTGCAGGCCTGTACTTATGGATCTAAGAGGGCCAGACTGCCAATATTGTGACTGTTTATTATTATTGCTGTTGCTAGTATCTAGAATATTAATCAACACATAATACTTTGAGATTTATGAGGTGTGTCTCATACCCTTGTTTTCACTCCAAACAGCCCAGGGAAGTAGCATTATCCCAATTCTTTCTATGAAACAGTGAAAACCCTTAGAGTTTACGAAACTTCACCTGGCTTACTCAATTTGGGAATGGCAGAGCAGAATTCAGTCCTTGAATACCCTCTCAACTGCAGGTTCACGCTCTTTGATCTAGGCGTAACATGTACTCTGAGTAAACAAGGACTCTCGGCTAACAGAGATGATGCAAGACGGGCTGGATATTAGGGCACCTAAGAGCAATCTAAGAACCATTATAATAAAATCGTGAGTTCTAGACTCAAAAAAAGGAAAAAAACTGCTTTTTCGTTTATGCATATCCCATAATATTTACATTAGTGATTTTATCTCAAATTCAACCTGTATTGTGTCAAGTAATTTTTTTTAAAAAATAACATTTTCCTTTAACTTAATTTCAATTCATTTTTCTGCAACTACTTACAACTTTGGCACTAGAATTCACAATTGTTTTTCTAGAGCTGTAGGTTTTTTAAAGGGAAGGGTTCTGACATTGTTACATGTTCTCAGTTGCTCCTAGTTAGTCTAATAAATATTCCACTGTCTCTAAGTACGTATCAACCATGCCGATGTTCAGGCTGCATAACTTTATTAGCTCCTGTGCTTATTTTGGAGAAATATTTCTCATTACTAGGAAAGACCTCAGCTTAGAATGCTTTAGTATATTAGCCTGATTTCTGCATTTGTCTCAAGCAAAGGAAAATAGAAAATTAAGAACTGAAATTAGCTATTGAGACAAAATCAAATAGCATTTGAAACCATAAAAGCTAAGTAGGGCTTTTCATCGTTTCTCATTAGGCAGCAACAGAGAATGGGAAGGAAAACTGGAGTGATGGGTTTGTGATACAATTCCACTAACACAAAGAGCAAGAAAAAGTAGTTTTTTGTGTGTGTATGTTTAATATTCAAAGCTCAACTTAAAAGTATTTTTCATCATCAAATTTCCTTCTGGAATAAATAATTAAAACAATTTAATGTACAAATTATCCTTTATAATGCCTCAAACGGGAGCTACCCTATTGTGTTTTAAGCTTGTGCTTAAATATTATGAAAATAAAGGGGAAGCTGTATTAAAAAGTAGAAAAAGTGGCAGCCTGGGCATTAGGGGACCTGGTGCGGGCTCTGTGAATCATATGGTTTCAGGCAACTTTTCAAATTTTCTGCACCCTTTTTTTTTTTTTTTTTAAATAAACAGCTGGGCCAAAGGATCTCTGAGTGTTTTTCGGCTGTCAGTGTTTATAAGATTGGAGAAGTTGGTGGGAAAGCTTTAGGTGGAGTGTGAGTACTTGCAGCTACAGGTACAGTTAAAGAGTTTACCTTCAGGCAGGCCAACAAGATCTTGCATAACAAATAGAAAATGGTCCAAACTCTGAGTTTGGCCACTGATGGCTTTAGCTAGGATCTGAGTGTAGAGCTGAACTCCTGATATCCAGATGTTAGCAAGTCTTGGAGGCCTTTTTTTTTTTTTTTTTTTTTTTTTTGAGACGGAGTTTCGCTCTTGTTACCCAGGCTGGAGTGCAATGGCACGATCTCGGCTCACCACAACCTCCGCCTCCTGGGTTCAGGCAATTCTCCTGCCTCAGCCTCCCGAGTAGCTGGGACTACAGGCATGCGCCACCATGCCCAGCTAATTTTTTGAATTTTTAGGAGAGACGGGGTTTCACCATGTTGACCAGGATGGTCTCGATCTGTTGACCTCGTGATCCACCCGCCTTGGCCTCCCAAAGTGCTGGGATTACAGGCTTGAGCCACCACGCCCGGCCGTCTTGGAGGCCTTCTAAGGCAGAGCAACAAGTAGTATCTTTCCTGGTGCTGACCTGATCTTACTAGCAATTGGGCCTCCGTTTGGATCCATTGTACAAAAAATCAAAAACAAAAAACAAACTCAAACACCCAAACTTCAAATTTTTAGACGGAGAGGCATTATTCTCAGAGATAGAGATATCTGGAAAGCAGAAAACTATACTTACCATGCTGATGAAGCCCAATTATTGTTCTTTTAAATACATTTAGCTACTTCTGAAGATACAATGAGTATCTACTAATTATTTTTAAAATCACTTGGTAAATAAATATAGAAAATCACAAAGAATAAAGTGACCTTCCTGTTTTGTAACCGAGAAATAGCACCACTGGCCCTTGTGTGAATCTGCTCCTATTCCTTTGTGTGCATGTGCACAACATTCCTGCTTTGTACACTAGAGTACTAGCATTTTCTAATGTAATTCAATATTGTTGAAAACATTTTTAGGTAGCTTCCATCACAATAATCTATCAAATTGCCTTGCCAGACTCTCATTATTAGGTTAATTTATCTCTAATATGCAGTCATGAGTAATACTACAAAGGATATTTTTGGACAAAATTTTCCATCTATATCTTTCCTTGTAACCCTTCATCCTATGTGGGGGTCCGGCACGTCTGCCGGGGGGCTTCTGACCAGTGGAGAGCCTCAGCCCCACTCAAGTGTTCTTAACCTGGAAGAGGGAGTGCGCGGGAGAAAAGATAGATAGAGAGTGGGGCCTGGAGGACTGCCAGGCAATGCCAGAGCAAGAAGTGCCAAGACAGCAAGTTTATTTGTGCAAACTACAGGTTATATACCTTTCAGTGTTTGAGGAGTGACGTACATTCCATTGTATCTTGAAATAAAATCAAGAACAAAAAATCACAAGAAAAGGGGTACAGAAAGTATGACTCTTAATCAAAGGGTGTACAGCAAAGGGACAATAAAGCTTGCAAAAAGGGGATCATAAATCTAAACATGTGTTTTTCTAAAATCAGTTAAGCAAGCAAGTAAGATTGTTAACAAGGTATAGCTGGACCTTTCTAAATGTCATTCTAACCTTGCCTATTCATATAGGATCATATGCAAACAATATGATTGAGTTAGCAGAGGTAAATGAAGTCATACAGTTATTGTGCAGAGAAGGAACTAGGAGGCATACAATGTCTACCCATACAATGTCTCATTAGACCACAAGGCCTGAGGTCAGCCATTCTGTTGCAAATGTCAGAGGCAAAGATTGATGTTTATAAAATCAGTGCAACCAGACTTCCTCTTTTCCCTTAGCTCAACAGCCTCCAGGAGAGGAGAAACGTGTATGGGCTCAAGCTCAAGATGGCAAGGGTCCTGTCAAGGGCCCTTCGCAGGAGTGATCCCCACAATCCTAAGGTCACAGGTTACGAATATCTTTAAAAGTACAGACAAGTCTTTTAAATTTTGCATGCAGAAGAAGTGCAAAGCCTTCAAGATGAAATACAGGTTTGGTACATGTGGTTTTTTGTTTCATTGTTTGTTGAGACGGAGTCGTGCTCTGTCACCCAGGCTCGAGTACAGTGGCATGATCTTGGCTCACTGCAACCTCTAACTCTTGGGTTCAAGCAGTTCTCCTGCCTCAGTTTCCCAAGTAGCTGGGACTACAGGCACTTGCCAACATGACTGGCTAATTTTTGTATTTTTAGTAGAGACAGGGTTTCACCATGTTGGCCAGGCTGGCCTTGAACACCTGACCTCAAGTGATCCACCTGCCTCAGTTTCCTAAAGTTTTGGGATTACAGGTGTGAGCCACTGTGCCCGGCCAATAAGTGTGTTTTTAAAGTCATAGATGCTTCGGATGTCTTGAAGGATTTTCAAAAAATTAAAAAAGAGAAAGTCATAGAAGCTTCAATTTAGGAATGAAGGCAAAACTGATTATATTCCTAGGATATGAATTGTTGCTAGAAGAAACAAATATATATATCCCCAAAGATAGTTTGATTAGGGTACATACATTAAATTAAGCATATCTACATTTAGAGCCATGAATTCTCTTTGCCTGTCACAATATAGCTGTATATATGCACAATTGTAGTAAGAAGTCCTGGTCCATTGCCATTTTCTAGGTGACATAAACACTTTGTTAGTCCAGTCAAGTGTCCACATTGTGTGTAGCAAAGATGATCAAAAAACATTTGAAACCTTTAAATGTAATACATATTAGTATTATGCAATGTCATCCTTCATGTTCAAAGGCACATGGAACATTGTTTTGGTGGTACAGAGAGGAGAGAATCACCAACAGAATGAAAGGAAAGACTGCTCTGGAACCTTCCTCCTTAGCTCTTGAGCTTAGTTTAACTGTCCTGTCTTATGATCTGCTACAAGCAATACTACTCCACAGTTTTGCATGCTTCTCTGTGGTGTGATCAAGTACATGCCATTTTTTATTTAATTCTTCCAGCTCCACTCAGAAAGGAACTTTATCTTTATTGAGCAGAGGAGGAAATGAATGATTAGAGGATTTAGACTAGCTGTGAGTCACGCAGCTGGGACTTGTAGCCAAATTTCCTTTTAACAATCCTGTAACCAAAAGCGTAGCAGTGGTGTACTAAAATGTAAGTTACAGAGCTGTGTTGGGTCAAAACTTTTACTGGTGCTAAAAGGAGGCAACGTTAACAAGGGGGAATTATTTGTGTGTCATGTCTTGGATTATGCTCTTTCCATAGATAAAAGACTGTTGTGGTGAAAGAGATTCAGGGCACAGGGAAACTCCACCACAAAGTGTGGTACCATTTCCCAGAGAAGCTAAATGGACGGGAAGCCTGCCACCAGGAAAGGTAAAGCCACAGCTCTTGTTTGCAGGCTATGTTAATAAGCCAAAGCTTATTCCGACACATTTACACATCCCTGCATCACACTGCCTCTTTGTAAAGATACTCCCAGGATCACATCAGAGCCAGCTCCAGCCCCTGATCCTGTTACCTGGTGCTTTTTCCTTAGGGAGCCCCACGAAGTCATCTATTAGAAATTAAGCCAAATAATCAATAAATCCTTGGATCTAAGGAATGGAATAAGTTTAGGGAAAGTTTTTTGTTTTTTCTTTTTGAGACAGAGTCTCACTCTGTCACCCAGGCTGGAGTGCTGTGGCTAGATCGCAGCTCACTGCAACCTCTGCCTCCTGGGTTCAAGCGATTCTCCTGCTTCAGCCTCTCTAGTAGCTGAGACTACTGGTGCGTGCCACCACACCCGGCTAATTTTTTGTTTGTTTTTAGTAGAGACGGAGTTTCACAGTGTTAGCCAGGATGGTCTCATCTCCTAACCTTCTGATCCACCCGCTTTGGCCTCCCAAAGTGTTGGGATTGCAGGCACCAGCCACCGTGCCCCACCTGGAAAGTCATTTTAAAACAACCAATGTATGAATCCCTAGCATCATATTCTTGCCAAGTGGCTGGCTCTTTCTCCTGAGCTTGGAAACCTCCAGTAATATGGAAATAATTATTTTACAGACCACCAATCGTATCTGTGAACTTGCTTGCCCATTACAAATTATTTCTTCCAGCATAATTTTATCTGCGTCTTCACAGGTTTTCTCTTTCCTTCCCTTTAGTGTTTGTTCTTTAAATAAGCAGAAAAAAATCCAATCTATCCCCTTTCAATATTGGTCTATTGTCGTTTCACTTTGTGGAAATGCTTTTAAAGAAAAATTCTGTCCTTGCAATATGTTAAATATTTTCTAGTACCACATCACCTACAAGCTTTGTAAAAATGTGTTTACATATTATTATTATTACTGAAACAGTCTCATTCTGTCACCCAGGCTGGAGTGCAGTGACATGCTCTTGGCTCACTGCAACCTCTGCCTCCCAGGTTGAAGTGATTCTCCTGCCTTAGCCTCCCAAGTAGCTGGGATTACAGGTGTATACCACCATGCCTGGCAAATGTGTGCACTTTTAGTAGAGAAGGGGTTTCACCACTTTGGCCAGGCCAGCCTCAAACTCCAGACCTCAAGTGATCCACCAGTCTTAGCCTCCCAAAGTGCTGGGACTACAGGCGTGAACCACTGCACCCCACCTAATTTCTTTTTTTTAATTGAACATATGTGAAGGCAGGGCTTAGTGACACATAGCAAAAACATTTCCAAGTGGACATTACACTAAGCAATTAATGGAAGTGCTCACTTAAAAGTACTATCTCTCATATATATTAAAAAAGAATCCCTGTATGTGCAATACCTTAATTCAAAGGCAGCTCGTTGTGTATAAACTCTCAAGCTTTGTGATAAACAAATGTGCATAACAGATGGGACTACTGACCTACAGCCCAGATAATTTTACTGATGCTGAGAGGGTTTTGTGATTGGCTCTGCCGCTGTCATCCCCACTCACTTCATTTTGGAGTGACATAATGCCAATATGACATAAATACCTTACATTTAGGTGTTCTCATCACCTGCTTCCTACCCCCCTGAAAGATGACCATATTTGCTTTACCTGATTATAAGGTCTCATATTCACTGTCTTGAAGCCAACCAAAGAATTTGACAGTGGGTTTGTAGCACTGGCTATTTTGGTGAAATAAGACAATGAGACTTCATGATGTCATCCAAAGTTCTATCAGATCTAGCTGTGGGAGAAATGAAAAGGGGCCTCAGTCAGGTTGCTCACGGCATACTTCTGTGTTGTTCTCTAGGTCCAGATTTCTGTTCATTACGCTATGGGCTGGCTCTTATCATGCACTTCTCAAACTTCACCATGATAACCCAGCGTGTGAGTCTGAGCATTGCAATCATTGCCATGGTGAACTCCACTCAGCAGCATGGTCTATCTAATGCCTCCACTGAGGGGCCTTTTGCAGACGCCTTCAATAACTCCAGCATATCCATCAAGGAATTTGATACAAAGGTAAATGTGTTGGAGAATAGGGCTCTTTGTTAAGAGGAAAAAACTCAGTTTGAAAGGAAGGCATAGATCTTGATTCTGTGATGTACAGAAGTATAAATTTCCAATGACAAACTAAAACTGACTGGAATTATTTTTCTCTGAGACATTGCTACCTCTATAATAAAAATAAGATTTCATTGAGAGTATTATAAGATGGGGGACCTCTGGGGGAAAATGTGAAAAATTTGAAAATGGAATAGATTATGTGATATCTTTGATGAAAAGCTAGGTATTACCTAGGCACATTCTTATAAGTTACTCAGTTCTATTCAGGTCTCTGCCTGTTTTATTGTTTTTGAGCAATTTTATAACCCTGTAAATTCTATATAACAAACAGAAATGCAAACGATTCTTGTCCATAGCTTTGCAAATAAATTTTGCCAAGAGAAAAATCAGTTAAGACTTTTTGCTTACAGCCGGGCGCGGTGACTCATGCCTGTAATCCCAGCACTTTGGGAGGCCGAGACGGGTGGATCACGAGGTCAAGAGATCGAGGCCATCCTGGTCAACACGGCGAAACACCATCTCTACTGAAAATACAAAAATTAGCTGGGCACGGTAGTGCGTGCCTGTAGTCCCAGCTACTCCGGAGGCTGAGGCAGGAGAATTGCCTGAACCCAGGAGGCGGAGGTTGCAGTGAGCCGAGATCGCGCCATTGCACTCCAGCCTCGGTAACAAGAGTGAAACTCCGTCTCAAAAGAAAAAAAAAAAAAAAGACTTTTTGCTACTCACTGTCCAACTGAATCAGCCAATTTTGCTGTTTATTTATTTATTTTTTTGAGACAGTCTTGCTTTATCATTCAGGCAGGAGTACACTGGTGTGATCTTGGCTCACTGCAGCCTGCGCCTCCCGGGTTCAAGCAATTTTCCTATCACAGCCTTCAGAATAGCTGGGACTACAGGCACAGGCCATCACAGCCGGCTAATTTTTGTACTGTTAGTAGAGACAGGGTTTCACCAGGCTGGTCTCAACCTCCCGACCTCAGGTGATCTGCCCACCTCAGCCTCTCAAAGTATTGGGATAACAGGCATGAGTCGCCGCGCCAGGCCCTGCTGTCTATTTAAAATCTATTTCAGCATTGCTGCCTGCCTGTGTTATGTGTGGTTCTTTGAATTTTCATTTGAACCAGTTATAACATCTTACTTAATCCTTCCATTAGTCAATGAGTTAAATAAAATCTTTGTCATATGCTTATTTTACATTTATATGAGAACCATGATTATACCCAATTTAAAAAAATTATCCTTTAAATTATCTTTTACTGTATGTTTCCAATTCATCCCTATAATTCATGATTAATGATTTTATTACATTGGACCCAGCTTATTTACCATGAGTACATAAATTTATTGCCTTCAGTCTTTCCTCTATTATCCCATCTACACATTCACACTGAGCAGATTCACCACTCGGGAATCTAGGACACCTTCAAGTTGCCAAGCATGCAGTGTTCACTGAACTTGCTGTGTCCCTCCAGAATTTGGTCCTGTTTCTCAGCACACTCACACCTGCTGTCAACGACCCAAGGAAGTTTTGCTCTGAGCAAGCCAGAGTCCCTGTTAGTTTCTCCCAAATGCTACAGGTTCACTTTTGCTATTTATTCCGACGAGATAAAATTTTCCTTTTTGCCTTTCTGCAAATCACAGTCATTTTTCAAGGGATAGTTGAAGTATTGCTTCCTTTGTGGGACCTTCCCAAATTATTATTTTCTCCTCTCAAAGTTCCTGTTTTCTTTATATTCATTCTCAAATCTTAGAAATCTTAATTCTCACATGAATCATACACCTTGTATTATTTATAGTTTGTTTAAGTGGGTAAAATATTTCATATTTTATATTCATTGGCTCTCTATAGCAAGATGCCAGGTAATGAGGTGGGTTATTGCATGATGCCTAAAATCTATTTATTTTTAGGTGAATATTTAGGTAATATAATTTATATAATCATTTAGGCATTTAAGGTAGTTATTTTAAAATAATTCAATTATTTATGGAGTTATTATATCAGAAGAATGTCATCTTATTCACTTGTAATATGTGTTTTAGGAAGTCAGTTCAGTCAAGGGAGACCATAATTCCCAAACTTGATTTTTATTTTTAATTAGGGACTAATTTTGGTAAGAGTTCAGTAAAGTTTTGTGTGTGTTTTTTAAATTCTTTGATATGAGAGTCAACTTGTTACCCAATGTTTACTAGAAGCAAAATAGGTGGAGGAAGCACTCTCACAGATGAAATATCTCTCAATGTTTTCTTCCATTTACTTCTTCTATTATTCATCTATATAATCATTTTCTTTACCTCTTTTCTTCATTTCTTCAGTTTTTCTAAGACAAAATAGGGGTATACTTGGTTGTTTGGAAAGGTAGGTAGAATATAGAGAAAAACTAAAATAGATATTTTATAGCAGGGTCTCACCAACCTCAAGCTACTCTGACCGTTAAGTGGATTTTCATAATGGGTCTTCTTGACAAAGAGTTTTCCTATTTTTATCCCCAGGCCACTGTGTATCAATGGAGCCCAGAAACTCAGGGTATCATCTTTAGCTCCATCAACTATGGGATAATACTGACTCTGATCCCAAGTGGATATTTAGCAGGGATATTTGGAGCAAAACAAATGCTTGGTGCTGGTTTGCTGCTCTCTTCCCTTCTCACCCTCTTTACACCACTGGCTGCTGACTTTGGAGTGACTTTGGTCATCGTGGTTCGGACAGTCCAGGGCATGGCCCAGGTATCCAGATACTTTCTCATTCTGGGTGGGATCCAGATTCCTGAATTCTACAAAATATCAGGGGTCTTAATGATTTTCATTTCAGGGAATGGCATGGACAGGTCAGTTTACAATTTGGGCAAAGTGGGCTCCTCCACTGGAACGAAGCAAACTCACCACCATTGCGGGATCAGGTAAATGAGCACATATGGGTCACAGCTCTGTAATCTGTTCCATCCTACTGAGTCTTATCTTCTACGAATCAAATGGTTTGGGGAAGAGAGAGAAAAAGCACTACTGAAAAATTCAACAATAGGAGACAGTCGCATAACAAATATGAAAGATGCATCTGTACAGTAAAGACACTGAGGCTTAGAAGTAGAAAAAACCATTGTGAGCTAGGTTTCCACTCAGTCAGAAAAGCCTTGTAGGGGAAAGTTTAAACCATTCAGAATTACATAAATGGAAAAAGATCAAGTAAACGATAGATACATACACCATCTTAGCAGCAATGTTGAAGTGAGAATTAAGGCTACCACAGCTCAAAGTGGTAAGGAGAGAAATCAGGCTGGAATAGTTTGAAGTGTCTGCATTATTCTAAGCTCTTTACTATTTTATTGGGAGCTAATTCTCCCAATAACCTTCTCATGTAAGTACAATTTTTTTTTCTTTGAGACAGTCTTGCTTTTGTAGCCCAGGCTGGAGTGCAGTGGCACCATCTCGGCTCACTGCAACTTCCGCTTCCCGGGTTCAAGTTATTCTCCTGCCTCATCCTCCTGAGTAGCTGGGATTACAGGCACCCGCCACCACACCCAGCTGATTTTTGAACTTTCACCATGTTGGCCAGGCTGGTCTCAAATTCCTGACCTCACCCGGTTCAGCCTCCAAAGTTTTGGGATTACCAACGTGAGCCACCATGGCCAGCCTAAGTATCATTTTAAACTCTTATTTTACAGAGAGGAGAGTTAAGGAAAGCGGAGATTAAGTAAATTGTCCAAATACAAATAGTCAGCAGGTGGTAGGTCTGAGATTTAAGCCCATGCATATTCTAGCCCAGAGCGGACACTCGATCACTATGCTACGTGATCCACCTAAGGCCTCTACCGCTTTATCACTGCTGTTCTCCTCAGAAGAGCGGAACTAAGATTCCATCAAGCTTCTCACTCCTGGGCCCACTACACAGCTGCATCGTCAGACGTTTACCTTAAGCAGCCCTCCTACTTTCTTGCTTCCTTCCATCCAGTTGTCACCACCTCCTCTATTTGCAAATATTATCTGCTGATCTCTCTCTTCTAGCTTGGTTTCTTTCAATCTTCTTCCCACCAAAACCAAGTTCTCTTTCTAAAGTGAAGACGGGGCATTTTTACTCACCTGCTTGAGAATCTTCCATGTGTTCCTTCATGTTTACAGAGTAAAGACCTACTCTTTAGTGAATGGATACAAGAGTGCTCAGCCATCTGGTCCCAACATTGTTCCACTCGACTCCCCTGTTCAACCATGGCTCTGGTGGCACCAGACACTGGCTGCTCCCCACATAGATCTGCACTGCATTTCCCTCTGGCTCTGCTCCCTCTGGTTGATATGCCTGGAAAATTCTTTGATCCTGTTCCTTGTGTCAAAATTCCACTTACCCTATTGCTTAGATCATGTAAAAACTTCCTAAATCTTATAATTATTATCAATTTATCCCCAGATATGCTTCCACACATATTGTAGTTTTATTATCACCTTTATATTTTATGTATTTTTTTTTATTCAAATTGAAGGTTGGGACCCATTAGTGAGTCACGAAACACCCATTGAGCAGGTTAAAATCATTATTTTAAAAACTGAATAGAATAGAATAGAAATTGTTGGAGTACATTGCACATGGTAAAGTTAAATATTGATTCATGAAACCATTTTTAAGGCATATGCATGTGGTTTATATATATTGGTGTGTTTGTTATGTTACCCTGTGAAATGCATTTCTTACTATGGGTCTCTGTGAATTTCGTTTCTTGTTGTTTTTTAATGTAGACTCCAAAGCCTACGTGGCATTTCACTAGTGGCAATCAATTTTATTCACATTCTTCGCTCCAATTGGACCAGAAGCTCTTTGAGGGCAGGGACTGTATCTTATGGATATTTATATATCTTTAATTTCCTGCCCCCATCCTCATATTAGATCAAGCAAGAATGCAACTGTAATCACAAAAAAATACTAATGGGCTCTGATAGCAGAGAGTTGCTGTGACAAACTGAGGGATTTAGATTTGGTCACATTGGTATTGAGGAGCCATTGAAGAATCGGGGGGCATGTTACTATTATTTATTAATTGTAATTATATAATATTACTTTATTGGGGAAAATCTGTGAGAAGAAATAAATATCCTCCTCACTGCCCAATAATTCTAAGTCTGCCACCTCACCGATGGGACAATGTTTAGGGAGGCCATGAAGTCTCAGCCTTTGCTATTTTTGTAAGTGTTTTTCTCTCTCTTCCCTTTAGGGTCAGCATTTGGATCCTTCATCATCCTCTGTGTCGGGGGACTAATCTCACAGGTCTTGGGCTGGCCTTTTATCTTCTACATCTTTGGTGAGTCACTGTCTCTTAAATCCTAACACGTCCATTTCCTGAGCACCCATTTTGGCACCTACATCACCCACATTCTTCCTATAGGAAAGAAAACGTCCTTTATCAAATGGAAGATGATAAAAAATGTCAACAGTTGCTATCATTTTTAATGTAGTCACAAAACTTGGTTAACACCTTTCTGGTAGTTCTGGAAAGCCACATGCACAGGGTAGAGGAGTTGACTATTCACATGGCACTGACTTGTGATGCAGTCTTGTCCTTCCATATCAAGCATCTTCTGCAGAATCTCTACCACCACATCTGCAGTGCCTGGGCTAGTCACCACATGCAGTTAAGATGCCAAAGATAATGAAGTACCTCTTCAATGTGTCTTTGTATTTCATTATAATTATTATTTCTGCCCAAGATGCCTTTAACCTGTTCTTTACCAAGTGAATCTGGCAATGTTCAATTCAAATGTCCCCATGGGCCCTTCTAGGGCTTACTCTATCAGATTCAGGCATTCTCTCCTCTACAATCTTTACTGATATTTCCTCTCTACATTATGTTGGTGTGTAATTATTTATTTCTCCTTTTCTTTCCACTGCACTGTGAAATGCTTGAAGCAAGGAATCCATTCTATGATGTTTTCATCACTTGGTGTCATCACAGTGCCCAATTTTTAGCTTTAAAGTAAAAGAATCAGTGAATCTCGTAATTAGAGGGAATTTAAAGAAAATTCGTCCTCAGAATCTTTTAACACAGAATATTCTTTAAACAACAAATTCCAGCAATGAGACAATATTCTAAGTTGACTTTGTTGTGATAGCCAAATGGTGTCATTCGATATAGTCCTGGCTGGAATGGCTTTCTCATTAATGTTGCTAATTATTTTGGTTTATACATGTTAACCGGGTATTTTACAGAAATATTTGTTTTGAGAATCCATAATGGATGTATGGCTTGAATACAAATAACACTGTCTGTGTAAGTGGATTGGAAACTTTTCCGTATCACATGATTACATGGAAAGTTGTTTCATGTATGTATGACTGCAGTCCTGACTATTCAGGCCTTCTAAAACAAGACAACTATGTGTGCATTAAGAAGCTACTGCTTTGGCCAGGCGCAGTGCTTCATACCTATAATCCCAGCCAGCGGATTTTGGGAGGTTGAGGCAGGCGGATCACCTGAGGTCAGGAGTTCGAGACCAGCCTGACAAACATGGAGAAACCCCATGTCTACTAAAAATATATAATCAGCTCGGCATGCTGGCACATGCCTTAATCTCAGTTACTCAGGAGGCTGAGGCAGGAGAATTGCTTGAACCCGGGAGACGGAGGTTGCAGTGAGCTGAGATGGTGCCATTGTACTCCAGCCTGGGCTATAAGAGTGAAACTCCATCTCAAAAAAAAAAAAAGTTGCTGCTTAAAATACATAACACTATAATCATTGGAGGCTTCAAAGTGATTAATCAGCCATGCAATACCACGTTCATGTTATCTCCAAAAAGCTCTGACATTGACGAATGGTGACTTTCTCTTTGAGAGGTAGTATCTAAAAAGCTTTAACAGGTTTGCAGGATTGAAAGAATGGGAACATTCAGGTCCTATGGTAGAATAAGCATTAATTGATTAGTGTGTAGAAGGGAGAGGCATGCCACTCTCGTCCCCCAGTAAACAAATCTACCTAAAAACTAATTTTATCTCTTCTTCCCAGGTAGCACTGGCTGTATATGCTGTCTGCTATGGTTCACAGTGATTTATGATGACCCCATGCAGCACCCATGCATAAGTGTTAGGGAAAAGGAGCACATCAGGTCCTCGCTGCCTCAGCAGGTACAGTGCACGCCTTGAACCTGTGGCCCATGCAGAGATCTCTAGGGCAGAATGTGGATCTCCTCCGAGAGACACCCTCTAGGCTGTTCTAATATTCGTGTTGATTAGATATTTCTTTTCAGCCCAGTTCTCCTAGACGAGCTGTCCCCATAAAGGCAATGATCACATGCCTGCCACTTTGGGCCATTTTCACGGGTTTTTTCAGCCATTTCTGGTTATGCACCATCATCCTAACATACCTGCCAACGTACATCAGTACTCTGCTCCACGTTAACATCAGAGATGTGAGTTTACTTCCTATGCTTTTATGAAAATGATAATGGTAATGAGGAGAAACGGTTCTGTGTTACCTATTACATTCCGGTTTTACATATAACCATTAATTTAACCTTCACAATGACCCTGAGAGAGGCAGTTATGATTCCCTTTTCACAGATGTGGAAATGGCACATTTTGAGGTGAGAGACCTTGCCCGGGGTTGCACAATACTGCGGGGTAGCGCTGCGGCAGCATCTGTATTCTTAACCACTATGCTGTACTGCCACACCAGCTGATTCCAAAGCTTCTTTTAGAAACTAATATTGCTTTCTCTGGAGCCCAGAGTGATGCAGCTGCTGGCCCTCTTATCTGAGAGGGTGTTCTTATAGTGTGAAAAAGGATGCCAATTTCTCCCCAAACAACCCAGAATACCAGGGGGTAGGTTAACGGCTGGTCTGTATAACCAATAAATTTTGGTGCTAACAGGTCTCCATAACTATCCTGTATCACTTTCCTTTCTTCAGAGTGGAGTTCTGTCCTCCCTGCCCTTCATTGCTGCTGCAAGCTGTACAATTCTAGGAGGTCAGTTGGCAGACTTCCTTTTGTCCAGGAATCATCTCAGATTGATCACCGTGAGAAAGCTCTTTTCATCTCTAGGTAACGATAGGCGTGTGGGCTCATTTAACCAATCCTTTTTTGGCACATGGTCTCAGAGGGTTCCCTGACAACATGTCCTCATTGCCCAGGGCTCCTCCTTCCATCAGTTTGTGCTGTGGCCCTGCCCTTTGTGGCCTCCAGTTACGTGATAACCATTATTTTGCTGATACTTATTCCTGGGACCAGTAACCTATGTGACTCAGGGTTTATCATCAACACCTTAGATATCGCTCCCAGGTAAGAGCTCTACCTGCTTTTTCCCCTCCTTCAGACCCCTCCAGAGGTGTTAGACCTCACTTGTCACCATGAAACTCTTTCATACGACTGACATGCACTAATGGCAGAATGACAAATACCTACAAGTCTGTCTGTGGCCATTTTTAGAACAACAAATGTGGCATTTTTAGGACAACAATTTCCAATGTTGCCCAGTAATCATTTCTGTAAAAAGCTTCCCAAGCTTCCCTAACAGAGATTGAACTGTGTATGCTGGGAAAAGGCCCACACACATGTAATTTGGAAAAGTTTCCATGGTGTTAATCATCTTAGCTACCATATATATATATATATACAGTCACCATAAGTTAGCTCCTGTGCCAAAGACTTGCCATATATCAACACATCTAATCCTCACAGTTATATTAGGTAGATCCTATTATTATTTCCATTTTATAAGGAAGAAGGCTGAGACACAGGGAGGTGTAATGATGGTTATGGTTATATAAAGCCAGAGCCAGGGTTTGGACCCAGGGTTTGGACCCAGGGAGTTTGGCTTTGGAGTCTGTGTCCTGTCCGTTGCACAAACTGCCTTCTACACTGAGCAGCCTGGGTAAAGAAATTCGGATCCCAGAAAGGCTGCATCGCTCCCTAATTATTGACTCAAAATTGATCATTTCAGGGTTGGCAAATAGACATTGCCCTGAATGTCTTTAGGTGAATGAAAACTGCATCAAGCAAAATGGCTTTCCCATTAGAGCTGAACCGCGTTAAAGCTGAGTTGCTGCAGAAGCTGAAGGTGGCTTTCTATATAAAATCGTTTACAAAAATCATCTTCCCACAGATATGCAAGTTTCCTCATGGGAATCTCAAGGGGATTTGGGCTCATCGCAGGAATTGTCTCTTCCACTGCCACTGGATTCCTCATCAGTCAGGTTTGGACCAGTTTATTGAGCATCTTCAAGTGGCATGTATTGTTCTAGGTATTGGAGATACACACTGTGCTCTCAAGGTCTGGATGGCAACACAATTACTCCACTTACATGAGCCTCTAAATTGGACTCTGGTAGGTCGTATTTCCCAGGGGAAGAAAAGTATAAGCTAATTTTCTCAAAATGAATAGATGTTAGATTGATTAAAATGAGCTGTTCCAGCATAGTAGACAGCATGTATGACTTCCTAGAGGTACACGAGCATGAAGCCGTACTTAGTTATGACAAGAATGAATGATGCATGTCAAGGAATAGCAAGAGATGAAGACAGAGGGGCAGAAGAAGAAGATCATGAAGAATATGTTCAGACTAATTCCAATTTTTTAAAAATCACAAAAGGGAAAGGTATAGTATTCTGAGGCCAGTTTAAAAATAAGTTAAATGGCTGAAAAGAGATTGGCTGGGAGACATTGCAAGGAGGCTTGCTCAGTGTTTGGAAATGCAGGCTCGTGAGGAAGACGAAAAGACAGACCCAGGTGGAGATGGAAGGACTGACAAGAACCAACTTGCAGAGAGAAGCTTGGTTTTTAATACATTTCTATGTGATCAAGATGCCAGGTTAATATTTGACTAAACTGCTAGGAGTCCACTGTCACTATAAGGCTGGAAATGACTCACTAGGACTTTCTGAGGAGGGTCACACAGAGAACAAATAGAACTCGTGTTGAATTGAGATGGGTTGTAATGACAGACGTCAACAGCCAAAACTCAGACAAAACAGAGAAGACACAAACATGATGCCATTTTAGGCATAATTTTAAATGAGTAGTAGTATATGTTGAAATCCAAATTTTCAGAAAAACGTTAGTGTAGCTTATTTTTGTTTAAAGAAATAACCAGCCCAACTCAGAACCCAACGTGCCTTTTGGTCATTTTGTTTCCCATAGTTTCATAAACTTTCTTAAGTAGCTACTGCACACTGTTCCCTGTATTCCTTGTAATGGACATTGCAATATACAACGTGGAGGACTTCTAGAACTAGTGTAGAAGAAACCTGTGAGATTGATCATTGTTCCGTGTTTTTACATCTAGGATTTGGAGTCTGGTTGGAGGAATGTCTTTTTCCTGTCTGCTGCAGTCAACATGTTTGGCCTGGTCTTTTACCTCACGTTGGGACAAACAGAAATTCAGGACTGGGCCAAAGAGAGGACCTCAACCACCACTGAGGACGTAAAGTTATTTCAAACTTAAATACAGTATTGAGCATGAACTTTTTTAACATTTTTTATCTTCATATTCCTGACCATAGATTCAGCAGTTGTGAACTCTGGCTGTGTGTTAGTCTTTCCTGGGGAGGCTTTATAAGATTCTGATGCCTGGGACACACTTTAGAGATTCTGAATGAATTGGTCTGGGGTAGAATCCAGATACCACTAATTTTTAGATACTCTACAGAGGTTTCTAACATGCATTCAGGATTGACAGCAGCTGGACAAACTTGAAAAGTTAATTCAGGTGGCCTTTGAATTTTCCTCATTGGAAAGTATTAAATGAATAAAAATTTGCATGAAAATGATCACTGATAAATATCTGCATGGTGAGGGGTGTGGTTATTGGATATGGAGAAATCTGCAGGGAATTGTAACCACATGTTGCAGATCTTGGTACAGATCGGAATTGTAAAGCTATTATCCCCAGAATTAACATTTTTATTATTTTTTTATACATTGTAAAATGTGGATATTTATTTATGTGGTTAAATTCTATGAAAACTTATAAAATAAAATAGACCGTTTTGAAATTATTTAGATTAGGATTATTTCCATCAGGTTAAACAGATATTTATCCTAGACCAATTGCAAGAGATTAATGACCAGAAAATGACCAAGAAAAGATTAAATAAATGAGGTTAACTTAGAAATCAAAGACAGAGAAAACAGAATTGAAAATCTTGTGAGAAGAATGAATGTGAAGGAAGGCAATGTAGACACTTCCAGAAGTATACTTTAGAACATATAATGAAAATTGAAGGGAAATGACAGAGGCACTTTCAAGTGAAATGACAACTTAAATGGGGGAGAAAAATACTTAAGATATAACAAGATGAGAAAAAGCATAGAAATGTATCACATGCAAGAGACGTTCCTTCTGAAGGTAGAAAAAGATCATTTGACCTTCTTCGTGTTTTCCTTACTTTCCCAACACACTCAGAGAGACAACATCAACTCTAACAGGAATTCATTTAGCTTCTAACACTTCAAACAGATCCTTTAGGTTGTCTACACACACAGAGCTGATTCTGGTTTTGCCACATGTCCAGAGAAGAAGTTCCCACCATATTTTAAATCCTATTAAAAAACCTCTAGGACAAGAACCCTGGGCTAATTCAGCAGATGAAGGGAATCTTGTAACGCAAATCAACAGGTATTTTTGAGCAGGTGTTTTCAGAAAAACAAGTGTCACGCCCTGAGAGTGATACTAAGATGAGAACATTGATTTTGGCTTCATGGTATTGACAACATAGAGAGGAAGGCAGGTTTGCAGAAAACCGAAAGAAGAAGAAGAAAAAAAGAAAGACATAGTATAATAGGTAGTCAAATTATGTACAGAAAAAAGAGAAAAAAAAGACCACAAAAGGGTGGAGGGCAGAGAACCCAACTAAAAAATGGGTCAATGACTTGAACACGGACTTCATAAAAGAGAAAATGTAAGTGTCCCCCTTAACATATAAAAAGATTTAATTTCTTTAGTCATTACAGAAATGAAAAAAACTGCAATGAAATACCACTATAAACTTAATGGATAAAATGAAAGGGGATGGAAAACAGAAAATGTTGCCAAGGGTGCAAAGCAACTGGAACTTTCATTGTGAAACCTCGGAAAGCTGCTCAGCAATATCTCTTAAAGTTAAATGTACAATTCCAGTGACTCGAACATTTTAGTTAGAAATGCACATATACGTCCATAAAACATGTACAACAATGTTCATAGGAGCACTATCTGTAATAGCTCGAACAGGAAGTTGTCTGTTAATAGAAGAATGAGTAAATACAGCATGGTCTATTTATATAGGAATAAGAATTAACAGACCCCAATAGGTGATAGATGAATGGGTCTTACAAACCCAATATTGAGTTAAAGAAGACAAAAAGGACGGTCTTTTAAAGGTTTATAAAATAGTTTTTAAAAACAGCTACAACCAATCTATCCTGTTAAAAATCAGTGAGTGATTCCCCTTGGGCAGAGATAGGAGTGATGGTTGGATGGATGGTACTTAAGAAGAGCTCCTGGGGTACTAGAAATATTTTCTTTCTTGACTTGGATGTGTTTACTTTGTGAATATTGCACATTTATGACTTGTACGCTTTTATTTATGTAGAAAATAAAACAAAAAGCAAAATCTAAGTATCCATTTGAGAGTTTCTCCTCTGTTTGACTTAGTTATGACCAACGGAGCACTGGGATGGGGTCTTGGTCCTCTGCTTTCACGTTCTCCTTGGTTGTCTCCCTCCTCTTCTTTCGTTAGACCTTCCGGCCTCAGAGCAGGAAGGTAGACAGTGACACAATCGATGCTGTCAGCTTTCGGATCAAACTGGAAGTTCCCAAACAGCAAAATAAATGAGCTCAGACTTCGAAGAAATCATTACTGTAAAAGCATCAGTTGCCCCGGGCGGTAAGAACAATGGCTTAGCATGCCTGGGTTTTTCCAGCAGCTTCTCTGATTGATTGCTGGCGGATAACCTCCCTGTGTCGTACTTTCAGGGTCTCTCTCCACATTTGATAGTCTGAGGAAGAGTTACCATTCACATTCTTAATGGCTTCAGAATAGATGCAATTGTACACTGTATGAAACATTTCTGACTCATCTGCCCTCCCCATCCCTAAAGGATTGTTTCTAACATTAATGGTCATGAAAATTAATTCACTTTTCTCAAATAGCTTATTGTCATCTAATGATAAGTTGATCTGCTTTTTTTCTTTAACTGTTAAATATGAATTATATAAATGTATTTCTTAATGTTGAGCTTTTAATTGAATATTCTTTTGATGTACAGCAGAATTTGATTCACCAATAGTTTAAGACTTTGGCTGGTGTACGAACATGTGAGATTGGCTCTGTATGCATGCATGTGTTATCTTTTTTACGTCGGGGCATGGGGCTCATGCTGATTTCAAAAACAAGAAAGGGAAACTTTCTTTATTCCCCATTACTCTGTAAAGGATTGACTAGAATGGAATTTTTATAATTGCTATTGTTATTTGAAAGCTTGAAAGCATTGGTTTGTAAAAATCATGTAGGCTAAAAGCCATTTTGAGGAGACTTCTTCGATAACTTTCTCAATTTCCTTCAGTTACAGGGTTTTTAAAGAGTTTTTTATTTTCTTTGATCAGTTTTGGCCATTTATGTTATCTTGGATGATCATCCATTTTACACACTATTTAAAGTATATTTGCAAAATAGTCAACTGTTTTGTCAGACTTTTTTATAACATATTCATTTTATCTATATCTGAAGTTTTAGCTTCTTTGTACTTCTGACACAATGCATGTGTGTGTATGTGTGTGTGTGTATTTGTTTGTTTGTTTGTTTATTTATTTTTGAGATGGATTCTTGCTCTATAGTTCAGGCTGGAGTGCAGTGGCATGCTCTCAGCTCACTGTAACCTCCGCCTCCTGGGTTCAAGTGATTCTCCTGCCTCAGACTCCTGAGGAGCTGGCATTTCAGGGGTGCGCCACCATGACTAGCTAAGTTTTGTATTTTTAGTAGAGATGAGGTTTTCATCATTTCAGCCAGGCTGGTCTTGAACTCCCAACCTCAGGTGATCCACCCACCTTGGCCTCCCAAAGTGCTGGGATTAGAGGCATGAACTACTGCTCCCTGCCCTGCTTTTTATTTAATAGTCTATTAGCTTATCTTTTATCAAGCTTATGTTCTTCTATTCCCTTTGCTTTCCTTCATATAAATTTTGTTTTAGATATTTAGTTTCTTTATATTCATTCATTTTTATTTAATTATGAAACAGGTTAAAGCTTAGAGGAAAATTTCTCCTCTAAGTCCACTTTTGTGAGCAGATTATATTTTGCTGCGTTGTGCTCCCAAATTCATTGTTCTTTTAATGCTTTATTTCTCAAGTTAATAACGTAGATAGTAAAAAAGCAGCTGTTGACTCTCAGCTTTGTTGCTGTTGTTGTAGATACAGGCATCTTGCTATGTTGCTCAAGTTGGTCTCAAACTCCTGGCTTCAAGGAATCCTCCTGTCTTGGCCTCCCAAAATGCTAGGATTACAGACATGAGCCTTCATGTCCAGCCATGTCTCTCTCCTTATATACAATAAGGAAACAGACACCCTGAGGCATCCTATCACCTCACTCTTTGTGTCAGTACCATTCTCTGGAAATTTTGCTGAGCTTTTGCAGTTAATGTATTAGTTTTGCATTGAGTAGTTTCCATACAAGAATTATAGCATTTGCATTTTGTTGGGTATTGTACTCGTCACTATTATTTGAACATAATTTGAAGGCGGAAACTAAGGTGAGGCAAGTGAGGTGCCCAAAAAATATTTAAGGCGGCATCCTTTCTCAGGCTCATGCAAGAACAGAACTGGCACATGAGAGTGAGTGCCTGCTTAATTTTCAGTGCTGGAGACTTCTTGCTCATTTAGCATAGCCCTGGACAGTGAAATGGAATGATTCGTTTCTTCGTTTTGTTTTTCATGACATTCTTTACCCTCCCTCTTCTCAAAACATTTCAGTGGAGTATTTTTTGTAGCAGTGCTTGGATGCACCTCTGAGCACCGGAACAGCTAAGAGTCTCTTTCTTGGTACTCTGTATGATCACTGTGGAGCCTTAATACATTGTATCGTTAACTTAGCTGGGAACAGAAATTTTCTTTTGTAATTTTTCTTATTCAAAACAATATTGACCTCCTGCTAGTCTCTACTGCTGTCCAATAAGAGGAAAGTACTGTCCAATAGTTGGCCAGTAATTTTTATAGGAGAGGTGTGTTGTTGACTAGGTGCTACAGGATTCTCTTTACCGTGGAATTCTTTCACCAAGATGACACAAGGTGTTCATCATTTTCCCTTGCTTTTCAGTTAGTGATCTTAGAATTTCCTTCAATTTTGTTTTAGTTAGTGGCTGTCCTCAATTTGTAGTGTTTTCTTTGTTAAGAATCTCTCATCTATTTCCTGTATGGTAGAACCTTGTTGCCCATCTTTCTAGTTTCTGCCGACTTTCATTTTTTGGACCTTTTACTTTGCTTTCTCCATGGACTTCTTGATGGTGGAGGCAGGCAAACAGTTTCCAAAGTCTTTCTCAATTTCAACTTATTTCCTAGAACTGCCTGAGAATGTGCCTATGTCCACAATATCCCTCCTTCCACTTTAGAAAAGAAAGGCATCACACTTTATTTTGGTACAATGCCTGAAGTATAAACACTTCCTGGTTGTCAACAAAGGGGTACTTCCAAATATTGGCTTGGTGATAAACTGCTAATGATTAACACATTCACCTTGGCTCTTGGTTTGCCTGCTACCTCTTTGTCTGCTGGGTGTATTTTCTTTTAATCACTGAAAATATGCAGAGTAATGTATGTTTTATTATAAGAGACGACTGGCCAGGGCGGGAATGTTCTAAATTCAGAATAACTGAAGCAGTACAGGATAGAAACTGGTTCTTTCAAAGGAAGCTGGCATATTTTTCCAGAGCACCAAGTTTCAATATATAATCAAAAAACTTGATACAAACTATACAATAAAGCGGTTAGAACTTTCATTGAAATAAACTTATGCCATGAAATACTTATTCTAATTATGGTCCCTCTTCATCTTATCATATAACATATTTAATGTTTTATTTACAAAACAACTTACTTATTTTTGACAAAAATTTTTAGAAATCAAGTTAAAAATATTCAAAGTGATACCTAAAGTTTTCAAAATTCTTTTACATATTGTACAATCAAAAGAGTCTGAAGACCGTTTACTATTCAAATATTAAATAATTTTTCAGCAGCATCCCTTCTAATATTTACTATTTAGGGTCCTTAAAAATTTGCCTTCACCTCATTTGTTCATTAAAAACTTTAATACTGCCAGTTTCCCTTTCCTCTCAGCCCATTGTCATATTTTGATTTTTATCACTTGCTTTGTAGAATATATGAGGTTTCCTTCTTTCTTTATTTTGGAGATGGAGTCTCCATCTGACCAGGCTGGAGTGTACTGGTGCCATCAGCATTCCCAGCAGGGGAATGAAATGGCTTTCACCCATTTGAACAGCTAACTTTCAACTGTTTTGAAACCACTTTCAAGGTGGTCATGTACAGTTGGTTTTTTTGAAATCAGAAGACGGTCCTGCCTCTTTTAATATGTGACTCCTCAGATTCAGAAAGCGCTCAACCGTCTTAAGGGTTACTTCCCCTTACCGGTCCAGCACTATGAGCCCACATCTAACCCTATCCCCTGGGGACCTAAGAGAGAAATTGGTACTACGGGCAAAAGAAAAAGGCATAGTGAAGCAGAGAAGTCAGCATTATGAAAATCAGTAAACAGCATCATTACTTACGACTTTTAACCACCCAGCAGCCTGAAAATCCAGGTCAATCTGACACCATGAGCTCCAATTTTTGTTGGAGTTCTTGGAACCCATTCTGGGGAATGACTGTTTAGCCATTTTGGAGTGCGGCATATGTGGCTGCTGGCGTAAGAGGGTGCATGTAAGCAGGTCTTTGCCCTCTCTTATGAACATAAAAAGGAACTAAAATGTATCAAATAGTGGCCTAGAATACCTTTTACAACCAAATGGTGGCCTAGAATACTTTTTACCACTAAGATACAATGAAATTGAGAAACTCTTTTCCTCTTTTGCAGATACCATCATTATTCACATATTTCTGCAAAGTTAATTATTTGCACTGAGTTATTTTTAACTGAAATGTAATAATTGCTTCTCAAGTTTAGTCTTTTATCTTAAGGTTGATGCTCTCCATGTTCTTCCAAAAACAGATATGATGCTTTTATTACATCCTGGCCATCAGATGGGATTATTCTGTTCTTTTCTTCGTTAATCTATACTTTGAGCCACTTCTTTGTGGCTCTCAGTGAGAGCTATAGGTACAGTGACAAGTGATACCTTTGTTGTCCCTGTCACAAAAGTGGATACCATAAATGGGGACTTTTACCTCCACTCAAAATATATATATATCACACACTTGCCATATGCAGGGCACCACTCTAGGAGGTGCTAGGGATACAGGAATAAACAGACAAATGCAACCCCTGCTCATGTGAAAGAGAATAAGAAAATAAATAAGTAAAGTGTATGTTGTACAGAGGTGGCAAATGCTGAAAGGAAAAATTAAGCAGGATAGAGGGACTCATTGAAAAGACGACATTTGGGTAAAGGCCCACGTA